TACTTTTTGTCGATTTTTCACCATCGCACGTGTTTGTTATCCTACTCTGATCCTTGATATCATTGTTAGGTGTGATGTTTTATCATCTGATTTATTGATGTTTCACCATATTTTCCATTTTATCTCGCCATCTTTTAGCCAATGTTTTGCCATCGTATATTCTTTTCGCTGATGTTTTTCCATCGCACATTCTTTTGCCGATGTTTCTCCATCACACATTATTTTTTGCCGATGTTTCGCCATCACACATGTTTGTTATCCTACTTTAATTTTCAATATCATTGTTAGGTGTAATGTTTCATCGTCTTGTCTGATGTTTTGCTATCATGCTGGCGTTTTACCGCCTTGTCTGAGTTTGTGTTACCATGCGGTGTCTTATCATCTCTTTTTGCTATTTTATCATCATTGTTGACATTTTTGTTATTCTATCTGATGTTTTTCCATCTTGATTATTACTTTTATCTTAACTAAAAAACACAAACCAACCAAAATATATAATCCAAACTACGACTACTCTGATTCATTAAAAGGGATACGTAGGCATTAGGGTAGGGCCCAAGTGAGCACAACTTTTATTTCCCCTACATTCTTTTCTCCTTTCTTTCACATGCATTCCTTGTATACCTTATATATAGATTTTTACACATCCATTAGATTAGACAACAAGAGTGGATACCATAGAGTACTACGGGCGTGTGGGGTGCTAATTCATTCCCCTCACATAACAGACTCCCTTACCCGATCTCTCGATCACAAGACCCTAATTTCTCCCTTTTCGGCTTTTCTCGATGTTTACCTTTCCCCTTTCGGCGGGATAAAAGACATTTGCTGGTGACTTCATTGATATTTCATATTATCAGATGACGGTTCGGCCGGTTGTTTCACATGATCATTTGAGTTTTCTCTCAAATTCATCCATTGCCACACCAATGACAAATTTCATTCAAGACTCAACATATTTGCAAAGTTGTGATTATTATAAATGCAACATTCATTCTAACCTACATATTTTACCAAGGCTTACAAGAAAAGTTATTTTGTTTCTTAAGTTTGTTTAACTACAAGACTTAAGACAAAAGAGGTTTCAAGTTACAAAATAGAATCGAAGTTTCAAGTTACAAAATAGAATCGAAGTTTCAAAGGCCAAGTACTTCACTAATTTACAAGAGTTTCCAAAATGACCATGGCTTAAAATTCTCAAGATTATTTCGTTCAATTTGGCAGAGACCCATCAGAGCAGTTGAGAGAGAGATAAGAGAATAGAGAGAATTGTTTTTTATTTATGTTTATCCTTTGGTTAAACATTTTGTGTTTATTGCAATAATCATGTTTTCACTACTACGGCAGTGACACTTATCACCGTCCATTTTGTTACACTTGTGAATCCTATGTAGCACTCCTCCATGCGGTCAACCATGTACCCTCATCTACAACCAGCTGATTATCATCAAACACCTCATAGCCTGCATGACCATCGTGTCCTCTCAGAAGCTATTCACATTGGATCTCCTCTTTGGGCTTTTGGCACTCTTGCTTTCTGTAGACCAGATTTGCTGCAACCAGGCCCACATCTTTTATTTTTATTGTTTTTTTTATGATTTTAAACAAAAAAAACATATTGGGCCTAACCAAAAAAATTGTTTTTCTTACACCCCCTTTTTACCTTTTAAAACCCAGACCTAACTATTTTATACTTTTTATATTTTCTTTATTTACTTATTTTTGTCTAATCAAAACATACAAAAATATATATATTTTTAATAATTAAATTATAAACATTTAAATTTAAACACTTATTTTATTTTTGTTAATATTTAGAACTAGATTTTGGTTATTTTCCACACTTTGAAATATTTTTTTTCAAATTAATATTAACACTCAAATTATTAGATTTAGGTTTATTTTCTTCTTAATTTCAATTAGCTTAGATTTTAAGTTTTTGTTAAAATTAATTAAACTTCTCTTGTAATTTAATTAATTAGTTTAGTTAGGTTAAATTATGCAATCTTTTCTTCATCAAAACCTTAAAAACAATCTCTTTTTCTTCTTCCTATTTACATTTTGTGCATTCTATTATTATTCATATTCAATGATTTGTAATAGATAATTAGGGCTTTATTGCTTTCTTCCTCCTATTCACAAACTTGTACCCCCATTCCCAAAGCGTTGTAATAGCGTAGGACATTTAAATTCCGCAATTTATCGCTTTCCTTATTATTAATAGTAATTAGGGTTTGCATGATAAGACTTAAAACCAAACCAACAAAAACCCTAATTCAAGATAAAATACTTGAAAATAAAACACTTTGCACACATGCACCTCTAGGGTAACCCACACTTCTTGGCTCGGATAAAAACAATCATGTCCCTCGAATGTGAGATGTTTTAACAAAGACCCTCCATTTAAAGATCGTAGTCCCTCGACGACCCTTCGATTTTTCCTTTGATAAATGATCTTAGTCCCTTAAAAATTGCTAAAACATCTTACAAGTTGCCTTCTGTGACTGTACGACGACCCACGCTTGTCCCTCATATTCAATGATATGGCTCTTTACCAACTAATGGTAGACAAGCACTATCTAAAGGAGGAGGAAAAGAACGAAGACTTTTTGAGTAGGTAGATTGCTCGTAATTGCTTGCTCACAAACAAAACCATTTCCACACTTCACACTTTCAAAACACTTTTCAAACAAACATTTTGTATACATTCTCAACGCTACGAGAATCATTACAAAATTTCGTTACATTGGCATCTTCAAAACATCTTCCCAAACACTCCTTTTCAAACAAATATTTTCAAAACCAACACTTTGTATACATTCACAATGATACGAGAATCATTGAAAAGTTTTCCAAACTTAGGCGTTTTCAAAATATTTTCAAACTTACACAAACACAAAGCATTTCAAAAGGTGCTAACACCTTCCCTTTTCACAACCTACCCCCCGAACTCAAGAAAATTCTCAAAAGTTCTTTCTTGTTATTTTCACCCTTTCCTTTATTGGATAAAAGAAAAGTCGGTGGCGACTCTTGCTATCCGCAATATTTGCGAAAAAATGCAAAACAAAAATTCAGTTCTCCCACCGTATTACACCTATGTTAGCATGCACAGATACCTATCCTAATGTCTAGCTCAAAAACTACTCTAATCGAACGATCCTAAGGGAAGTAAGGTATAGCAAACAAATAAGCAAACAAGTTATTTGGCAAAAGCACACAAACATACTGACTCAAAGGGATGGGGGAAACAAGAGAAATGCCTTAGCTAAGGGGAGCGTATCACCCGAAGAAAACAAGCGAGAGACAAATGAAATAAAAAAATACAACGTCCAAAGTGACTGAACACCTAACCAAGATATAAAAGATTGAGGTAGGCGACAGAAGAAAATATGAACGATCAAGGAGTGTCAACATTGTCCAATGCAAACTCCTGACAAAGCATGGGGGTTTGATTGCAAAACCCTTCCCCACTTGACGGACTCGATACACAAGATCTACACGACTCTGAAGTAACAACGTACAACATGATCTAAGGATGACATAGACTAGAATGTTCGAGGGTTGATTACGAACCCTCCCCGATTGCCTCCTTTTGAGGACTTATCACCTGTAATATATGCAGGCACAAATGTAAACCCACGTGCAGAATACCTACTTCAAAGGTAGGATTTTAAACAAACACAAATAGAATACAGAAAGCGGTGCCTACTATGAGACTTTAAACAGCGACTTCGAGCACACACTCTTTATTTTCTGCTTCCTACTTTACATGATCTCTAGAAAAAGATAAATGCACCAACTATACATGATCTCTAGAAAGCGGTAGATTCTAAAATGAGGTAAACGAGAGAAAATAACAAACGAACAAAAGTTCATAGCGTCGCGAGCAAAAATAGAGAACCTAGAAAACTTCGAGTAAGCTTCACCAAGCAAAGAAAAGAGTCAAAGATTAAATGCTTGAAATAAGCGTCGAAATGTCATCGATGTGAAAATAAATCACAATTGGAAACTCAAGCATATCTACATATCACTCAATAAACCTGCATAAGACTCAATTCTCACCAATCAAAGGTGAATCACAAGATCGAGCAAAATGATTACTAAACATAATCGATAATAGAAAATTCTAAACAAAACTCTAAAAGAAAAATTCTATTAAACTCTACTATTCTTAATTGTCTTTATTATAGAGAAAATTATATAAAAAAACTAAAGAATTAATTCCTAATAAAAAAACTAACAAGTTTTCAATGATTTATAATTTTTATCATAAAAAAATCTAAATATAACAAGAAGATAGTAGGATCAGGGGTGTGAGATTTGCAAGGGAGTGTGGCCAGAAAATCCCCCAGACGCTAGGCATATCCAGAAAGTCGATTAACAATTTTTTTCAAATACCTTCCATTATCCAAAAATTACCAAAAATAAACTTGATGATGGGCTTGGGAATCTGGTCCAGCCTTTGTTTTATTTCAACAAATTTTATTACTAATATTGAAAAGATTCAAAAAAATAAAAATAAAAATAAAAAAATAATGAGGAAATCATAGAACCCTAAATGGTGGCATTTGGCTAAGTGACGATTCAGTTGATTTCAAAATGTTGAAACCCTTCTTCTCTTATCTTACTGCGATTTCTGACGGTATTGCTGTCGTCGCCACCATCAAACCTTGGCCAAACCGTCTTGAATCCATAACTTCTGAACATTTATCTCAACTGAAATCATGCCTTGATCTTAGATATATACCCAATTTTCCATGAGAACCGCTTAGACGAATGGATTGACAAAGTTAATCACGAAACCCTAAGTTCTAAAATTCACAATTTCGAGTGCACCAATGATGATTCAAGCGAAAATTGCCATTCATAAGCATCAGAGCACGCTGAAGCGCACAAGATCGAGAAAGAAAAAGCAGTAAAGGAACCTACTCCGAGAGTCTGACATTCTGGTGCAGTGGTTTCTCATCTCCGATTTGCTTCCGCTTCTATTAGCGTATTTTATGATTCATAGTTCTCACCAACTCATCCGCAGATTCAAGTCTTCTCTGATTTCAGATCTCGTTGCGGCTTGGTTCTTAGTTATTAGCTTTAATGTCAACTCTATCAACATATACGAATACACACATGTTCATAAAGAGTTGCTGAAGGAAGATGAAGTTCTTACTCGTCAAAGTCACTTCGATGGTGCTTCAAGCGTGATTCAAGTATGTGTTCTTTATTCCTTGCCTCTATCTTCTTCTGTTATGAATTCCTCTTCTGAGTTATTCCGAATTGTTGTGTTGTAATGTTGTTGAGATGTAGAGGATTGCTGAGATTCATTGATTGAATATGATGAAGGTGACACTTGAGGAAGATTAGAGTAGAAGAATTGGTTATGGTGCAGAGAAGGATGACCAATGAAGGTTGTGGGGAATTTTAGAGAGTGAAAGGGATGAAAATGGAGGTTACACATAGGCAAGGTTGATGATGAAATAGGAAGAGAGATTGTGATGGTGGTGATTCTTATGAGGATGAAGAATAATGAGAATGGATTAAGGTGGTTCAGAGAAAGATCAAGCTCTGAGTTTTTTTGGTATTTTGTGATTCTCCAATGATTGTAGAAGTATGAAGATGAAGATGAGAGGAGTGATTCTTATGGAGAATCCAGAATGAAGGTGAGAAGTGAGTCTTCTATGTTTTATTTTGTTAGCATTAGAGATGGTTGGAGTTAGTTAGGATCTCAAAAAATTTGTTATGGTTGTTAGAAGGTGGTTAAGTTGTGCTGGCGGTTCTGTTAGTTGAATCAGTTAGGAAGAATTCAGTTATCAAGTTTGTTATGGTTTTCTCAAATTGATTTTTTTTTGCAATGTGTTAACTCTTGGCTTGATTTATATTTTTTCTCTATTTCGATTTGCAGCTGACTTATTATTTCTGATTTTCTGATTTTTCTTCTGGTTTGATTATTTCTGGTATATTGAAATGCTACTGACCTCCAGTGGAAGTGCCAAGGGGCAATATAAAGAAGGTGGTTTTACTTCAAAAATGAATTGTAGCAATGTTGTAACGATTAAAGCTGAGACAATGGTAAGTCCTTTACGAACACTGCCAATATGGCTTGTAACTAAACCAACAAGAATTCCACCAAGGGCATTCAAAATTACTGGGATCCAAGTTAGAGGAGTCCAACCATGAAAAAAAAAATTCATGATGTCTCATAGCTTTCTCATCTGGAGATTTCAAGGTACTGGCAAGCAAGAAGGTACTTACAACAATTGACATTTCCACAGTCATTAGGTATGATGGGTGTTTCTTAACCTGAGAAGCCCATTGACACAGGGAAGAAGCTAGTCCAGATAGAACAGAACTAATTAGTACAGGAACTATTCCATTGAATAAAACTCAATCAACATTAGCACTAGTAGAACCTTTGTTAGAGCCTTCACCAACACTTAGTAAAATTATTTCAGCTAATAATAAGAACAAGGCTCCAATTTGTTGAATTTTTTGTTTTTGCCTCAATATGAAATATGTAAATAATGCAGTGAAAAATAGTTTTGTCTGATTTTTGTATAGGGACTGTCTGATTTTTGTACAGGGACTGGTTTTGAATGCAGGGTAATGGTTATGTATGTGCAGTTAATTTTGGCCATAAGCTCTTGGCATGAGAAGCTTAAAGACATATATGGTGTATTGGACTCACGAAAATTTTTAGGACCATTGAAGATCAAACTGAACCAGAGTGAAGTAGGTTCTAGGAATTTAGGTTAAAGGTCAACAACCAGATTTTTGTATAGATGTGGTAACAAAATTTGGCTTTGAAACGCGATGAAAACATGTAATCTTTTTTTGCATGATTCTTTTGATATCATGTAAAGAAAAATGTTTGAGTTTATAACAAGATCAATGGTATTGGACTTGAAAAATGTATGAATGTAATTGATTGCATTCGTGTGAGTGATATTTGAAATAAAACGATTGGGATTTGAATAGAACTCGAACATGAATGTGTTATGGTGAAACTTTGATTGTTGTATATGAAAGAGTCATGGATGAACTTTTATATGGATGTAATTTGGATGCTTTCCTTTTTTACCGTACCATGATCCACTAACCACTTGAATTAAAAGCTCCATAAGACTCGCAATTGACCTTGAATAATCAAATAATGAACCAAACTTAGACCTTGAATCAATTGGAACTTGGATCACTTAACCCTCTTCATTTTAGTCACATGTCTTATGCTTCATCATACACATTCATACATTCTCACGATAAGGATTGGGGTATTCAAGTTCCCAAGTTCTTCTACAAGCTCTAGAGGATGTTTGTTTAGGTTAATCGGTGCAAAAGAGGATCTCATGTATTCAATCTTTAAACTCTCTCAAGCTATAAAGGTTTCTTGTATTGTAAGACATCTCATTTGTCCCATATGATCATTAGAAGTTGGAGAGTTACAAAGTTTGGGGAAGAATTACATTTCTACTGTTCATCTCTCAAGATTAGGGTTTTGATCAGTTGAAGAGTTTGAGGCTTGTAAAAGTCAAGTGTGTGAATAATCACCTTCTTATCATCATATAAGAGATCTTTTTTCAAAGAATTTATCAATTTGTCCAGGAGAATTAGGGTTTTTGAAGATTGGTCATTATCTCCTAGCATAGAGGTTTAAAATTAGGGTTTTGATTTCAAGCAGGAAATTTCTGACTTTGTGGGAAAGACTTAATTCCATTCCTCTCTATATGTTGATAAGCACTTATGAGTGAAAGATTGGGTGCCAATTTTGTGTGAAAAAAGTTCAATTGATCAAAAGGGGCAAAATGGTCATTTTGACCAAAAGTCAACCAAAGTCAAAGTTAACCAAGTGGACTTTTGGTCAACTATTAATTCAAGTATCATATTTTCATACTTCATGATCATTAGTGTCACAAAATCAAGAGAAAATATTAAAATGAAGATAACTTGTTCAAGAAGGTATTGGGACATTTAGAAAGAAAATTCTAAATCTTTTAGTACATAATTGTGGACATTCATAACTCTCTCATTTTTTAACCAATGGAGGAAAATCTTATATGCTTGGAAATCTTGAGAAAAAACCTACAAGTTTGTTAATGTGTGCTCAAACCTCAACATTGAAGCATTTGTGAGTTATTGTGCTTAGGAGTTTAAAGCCCAAAGATGGCAAGTTTGCCTAGCAAAGGAGGCCTCGCGCGTGAAATTTTATCAAACGTGTGGTAGGCACACCTTCACCATAATTTTTCTTATTGAATGGTTTATAATTTCAAAAGTGTTTGAACATCAAAGTTGGATATATTTGTGTCCTCTTCAATCTTGCTTTGAAGAATATTTCATTCTGAGCACTATGGAGAAAGATACAATGAAACGAACATGAGGGCATAAAATGCTATCTTTTTGGCCAGAGAATTCACCTCGCGTGCGTGTTGGTATAGTCATTACATCAAATACCTGGCATGTCCATATTTACAAGACTCTACCTCTTAATGCAAGCAATAATTGGATTTGGAATTCAAAAGAGAATTGTAATTGGATATGTAAGCTATTGTTTGAATTTTGAATCATTTAATATGGATCATAATTGATTGAGATACCAGGGTTTGAAGTTGGACTCATAAAGATGCCTTGTCATGCATATCTGCCTATGGCCAGCGCTCGCGCGAAGCCTACCCCAACCTAGTCATTCTCAAATTCATGCCATTTTTCCACCAACTTGCAAACACTATTTTGAATTTCCATCAACTACAATATTGTTTCTTGTCATTTAAGCTTTATAAAGGCCTTATTCTTTACAAAAACGCACGAGGAAGTATTGAGAAAATTTGATTTTGTCATAACTGATCCAAGTGTGCATTGGCAAGGCAAGTAAGGCAGTTTATGCCAGCTCATCATTCACACGCTTATCTCACTCAAATACATTTCCTTTTCACTTATCAAAACGCATACATATAGCCAGCATTAAAGCATGAAACGCAAGCTTCTTGGCTTCACTCAAACATGCTGCAAAATTCCAGCATTGCCCTCTAACAGTTCTAAGCATGTAAAGACTGAACTATCCCTCTGCAAGCTTCCCTAACACGCTTTTTTTCTCTATATAAGCACTCCTTCACTCACATTACAAAAAAGAGAGGGATCTGCATACATACTCTCTGACTCTCTCTCTCTCTCGCAAGCTTCAAATCCTCTTCATTCTTCAGCAAATTCTCAAGCACTCTCTATTCTCGCGCCTCAAGCTACAATTTCTTCATCAATTCATCCCCATTGAAGCCAAAAGGAGATGATTCTCTAGTTTTCTTTTTAAATTCATAGGCACTTAGTGAATTTACTTTTCACTACTTAAGGTAAGTTCTTATGAACTTCACATCATCATTTCATCGTGCATTTGCAATATAGACTTAGTTCTAATCATGCTAGCTGGCTGGATCTTAGATCTGAAGTATGAATATGAGAGATTTTATGATGAATTCGTGCTCTGCAAGTGATTTGAATTTTGACTGAAACAATGCCTTCATGCTCAGATTTGTACTCAATCTTGCATTAATTAAGAAATCTATGATTATCACATTGTTCTTTGTAGTTTTATAATGAACTTTGATGTTTGGATCAATTAATTTGGTTCAGAAATGAATGAGATATGTGGATCTGAAGTAGCATGGTTAAAATCTGTTTTTCACAAATTAAAGAAATGTTGATTTCAGTAAATTTCGTGCGTGATTTTCTCCATGCTTGAGGAATCATTTTTTAAAATCTTTGATCATACGTTATTCTACTCAATGAGATCTTTAAATTGATCATAATTTCATGCGTTTTCATCAAGAATCGAAGGAGATATAGAGGCCTGAAATCAGCGCACGAAATTGAGAAAAAAATGCTTAGGGCTTTGTTCACTAACAGGGATGATTACGTGGCGTTGTGCAATTGAGCATGGCTTAGTTTTCTTTTACATCGCTTTCTGTTTTGAACAGGTGTAGTAGATCCATTTGTATTCAATTTTATTTATTTAATTTAATTTGTTTTTAATATTTTTATTAGTTCAAAAATTTTCAAAAAAATATTCTAAATTGATGCTTAGCCATCTCTTTCTTATTCTCTAAGTAGACCCACCTCTTGTATGATCCCCTTAGGTTTTCAATTCACTCTATTGCAAGTATGAATTGAATATACTTTATGCTTATAACCATGCATGCCAACATAAGATAGAAATTTCCCTTCAAAATCAACTATATGATCAATCATTGTATGATAACATTAGGGATAAATTTAGGTTAGTCTCCCCTTAGACTTTCCTCTCTCCCATTTTTTCATCCTTGCATTTAAAACAAAAAATTCTTTTTTCTGGCAAGGTTCAAAACACTTTAAAAATTACTGATGAGAATTATATCTTTATTGATCTTAGAAAATGATAAGTGAGTTTCTTCTCGATCTTATTACTTTTCCATTCAAGGCTTTGGTATGGTTCAAGTCTCGAAGACTCGTTTCATGAATAAGTGGAGAAGTGGCTAAAATCTCTCTCTTGAGATTAACTAGTTGCCATCTGCAGCAAAAACACCAACCAACACAAACTCTTTTGCCTTTGGGATTTTCTTTTAAAACTCTTCTCAAAAGAACTTGGTAATTCACTTTTGTGCTAACGCGTAAGTCTCCAAATGTCGAGTTGCGGCAGAAGGTGAAATTAAGGTTGTTCATTAAAAAATACAAACCAACAAAAAATTTGAAGTTGAACTACGGCTGCTCTGATTCCTTAAAAGGGATACGTAAGCATGTGGGTAGGGCCCGAACGAGCATAACTTTTATTTTCCCTACATTATTTTCTCTTTTCTTTTGCATGCATTCTCCCTCTTATATCTTTTTAGCTCTTAAGCTTTAGACATAGAATTTTCACCCTTAGATAAGAACAAACATAATTAGATCCTGTAGAGTACTACAGACGTTTAGGGTGCTAATACCTTCCCCTCGTGTAACCGACTTCCTTACCCAATCTCTATGGTTACAAGACCGTGATTTCACCCCTTCAGGTTTTCTCAATGTTTACCTTTCCCTTCTTGTGGGATAAAAGACGTTCAATGGCGACTTCATTGAATTTTATCTTTGATGATTTTCCACCGGTTGTTTCAGCTGGCAACTTCACTGGGGAAAGATTTACCTATTGCTGGTCCATCCTTAGCAAGTCAGTCCTAACTTATGTTTGCCTGCTTTTCTTGGGTGTTTATGTGTTTATTTTTCCAGCTTTATTTGTTTATATGTTTTAATTACATGCTTTCATGCATTGCACTTTATTGTCTCCTATACTCTGGATACTATTGTTATGTTGTTTCTTTATGGGGTTGGGATGTGTTGTACCCCAAAATTTTCCCTCTCATCCTTCAGGAATTCATCCTGAATTCTCAGAGTTTCTCTTAAACAAATCCAAGCCCTGAATTATCATTCCTTTCCAAGTAAACAATTTATAAGAGCAAAATGGTCATTGGCAGGCTCAAAAGTCAAATTTTTTACCTTGAAAAAGTTAAATTCTAAATACTTAGAATTTTTCTTTAAATAAAAAGAGTGTTTAAGAAAAATGGCCCTTCAGAACTTCTGAAACAACCTCCAGGCAGAAACGGTCAGAAGTTGCAAACTTGGCTCAACATATAACATTCAGTCAGAAGGTGGCTCTTCAGCAGCTACACCAACTCAGTTAGGGGTTGTAAACGTGGTTCAACACGTAATCTTCAGTCAGAACATGGCTCTTTCTGCAGTTACGCAAGTTCAACCAGAGTTTGCTAGAGAAATGCAAAGAAGGCAACAAAGCCTGAAACTCCTTCAGAATGTACTGGGATCAAAAGGTAATGGGATCAGCAAGTTGGGTATAATACTGAAGCAGAATCTCTAAGTCTAGAGTTTTCAGAGGCAGATCAAAGGAGCATGCTGGAAAGTCTGGAAAACTCTCAGAATTTCTGAGGCAGCAAGAGGCCAAGGTCAGAGCTTGGTTTACATTGTTTTTGGTGAAGCAGAA